ATGAAGACGTGGTGATGTGAACAGTCAGATGATGAGAACTGAGAAGCTGAAGTTGAACTATTATTCTTATGGAGAGAAAAATATAAAAATTTCTTAAAGTTATAAGAACAAAAAAAGCATCGTGTGAAACTTCGGAGTTCACAGTTCTTTTAAATGTGTTCGTACTTTCATCCAGGTGTGTTCGTGTGAATAAAGACCAACGTGTGCAAGATATCAGTGACACAGAGCTGAAGAAGAGCTTACCTGTTCAGAACGTCGTGGGATTTCGTCTGCAGCAGGATGTTCAGGTACATACATCTACTGACCATCTTGGTGGAAGCTTTCATCAGGCTGCACGGACGAAGAGCAGAGGTGTTAACATATCATCTAGTGCTCTGGTCCTGAGTTTAGCTGTGAAGTTAAAGGTTGAACAGTTCGTCTCAGCTCCTCACCTGAACACCTTTGGGACTCCCTCCAGGCTGCGCAGCTCTCCATCCTTCCCCAGCAGAGCCTCCACGCCCTTCAAGATCTCCCTGGGGTCCACCGCCATGTCTGAAACACACACCCCCAGCTGTTAATACGCATGCCGACGAGACACAGGTGTATTACATGTTCTGGCATGTACAGGCCTTTGATCAAACACAATAAAGATCTGTTTATTGAGGACGATTTGCCTGCCAGACAGAGGAGGGAGCTCCGTGCTACAGTTTCCACCCATGTAGAACTTCACATTAAAGTTCAAAAGTAAGTTCACGTCAAACTCGCAAAAAATCTGAAGTGCATCAGGCCAACAGGGGCACAGCAGCCTGACCTCACACCTGATCCCACTGTGATTCAGTCTGTCAACATGAGGCTCCACAGAGCTGACACACAACACCAGAACCAGGACATCCACACCAGAGCCGGCCAACCGGGTCTCCTCAGATCCACCGAGGGTCTGAGCAGCAGCACATTCATCAAGCTGCCAAACATCCCTAATGACACTGTAACGCTACAGCGGGACACCAGGCCGATCCCACATCCACCACGTTATTTTGATACCAAGCCAAGAGGGAGAACATCTCTCTAGACTGACGATCCCACAACTTACTAAAAGCACAGGCAGCAGTGTTTCCCTCGCGCCACACAGCACCCTGTTGCTCTGGCACACTGCTCCACGGCTTCAGTGCCGCCTCATAGCTGAGATGTTTGTGGATTGTTTAATGAGGCCAAGCTGACACCAGTTCAACAGGGACGAGGGCCGGACACTGCGGTTCAGGCCAGACTGTCTCATCTCAGGGACTCTGACTTGCAGGACAGGACGTATGGTCTGATATCATGTTCATTTTTGTGTGTGAGGCAGCAGTTTATTCCAGCTCAGGCTATGATTAAAGAGGCAGCAGCAATGCAAACAATAAAAACGCAGGTTTATGAAACGGATGAACAAAATGTTACACATTCACTATAAATCAACTTCTTTTATTTACCAAACTTTTTACTTTATTTAACTATTTCCCTAATCATATCAAAAAATGTAGATAATGAAAAAACTGTCTTTAACTGGGTTTTAACCTTTACAATTAACATGTACTCTATATCTATAACTGATTTATGTTTACATGTCTTATATATCTATGTACCAAATACAAATCAAGGTCAGAGGTCAAAGGTTTTTTACAAAAAGTAGCAAAAGAGAGATTTTTTTTCAAGATATGTTACTGATAATTACTGACCAACTTTTTAATAGCACACGTCCGTCACCATCATTCACATTCACTCAAACAAGGGATGGAAACACAAAACAAAAACAATAACATCTTGTAAAAATCTATTTTCTCTAGCATGAAACCTAGTGAAAGGATGAATGGTACAAATTCAGATTATAAATTAAATCTCGATTTGTTTCTGCATGAAGTATGAAATGCTTGAAAACTGGAGAATTAGTTTGTTAAATACTCATCTGTGTCCTGTACATGTGATGCTCTATATAGACTGAGGACTTCTCTGTGTTGGGCCACAGTGCTGTTAATGACATCACTGTCAGCTGTGGCAGCCACAGGGTGCAAGTCAGGCCCCTTACTGCCACCTACAGGCCTGTTTATGTTTACACGCTGGCGCTGCTCTGTGTGTGGTTACACAACACAGAAACGCATAACAAATTAATACAATTGTTAGTGCAACACGACATAACAATGGCCTGAACTGTCACACATTCATCTGACTGTAAATTAAAAACGCTGGGTGTAATTCAAAGCCGTATTATCTCTGAACGGTCTATTGTGATCCAAAACAAAAACACTAAGTCTCCTGGCCTTTTCTTTATGAATGTCTTCACTGTTATGGACTTTTAAAATGATCATGACAAAAGGTCTTATGAATAACCTTCAAATTATTCATTATGTAACTGTTTGGTTGAACCTTTTAAGCATGCACTTATTATCCATGTTTATGAATATTTATAATGAAACAGTTTTTTTGTGCCAATTTATCAATTCATGTAAAGAGCCGTCAATGCTGGTGGAAATCAATCCACAGGAAATGTCATGATGTGAGGAATCAGTTAAGTCTTACCCGCGTAACTGTTGTAGTAGAAGTTTTATATAGTCTCAGACCTCCACAACACCGCAAATAACACAACTCCTGCAAATGTCACAGTTGTTACACATATACACAAAATCAGTGTTAAACATGCCCTGGTTCCTGGTTCAGTGGGGGAAAGAAGATTATTTGTGCACAGTCACACTGTGGTGTTATTACATATCACTGGTAGATCATGGCAAAAACAACCTGACTGTACTCAATGACCAAGCCTGCAAAAAAAAAAATAAAAAAAATACTCTATACTCTTATTTTTATAACGGTTGCGCAACAACAGACGTGACTACAAATACGGCACCACGGTAGATTCATCAAGGAGACACAGATTGAATCAAATAACAGTGTAAAACGCCTACAGTTATATAAGAGCAGTTCACGCAGCCTATAAAAGGCCGGCGCTTAACCTGACATCTGTCATAGCTGATACAGGCCTGCTCCTGCGGCTAAGCTGCCCGACAAAGGGGAGGGCGCTGGAGGCTGACTGCTAATCAGAGCCCTCCCTCCGTTAACCACTTCGACGACGGCAAACCAAACCCTACACGAACAACAATGGCTTTCATAGCAAAGACCATACTGGTAGATGGGGAAAAAAACACGGCGACCAGCACCAGATATCTATCGAATCGCAGCGTATGGCAGTCAGACAATGCGATGGACACCAGTCTGTACTTGTTCTGCATTTACGTTTTGTGAAGTAAAAAAAACAAAAACAAAAGTCCCAAGTGTTGCTTCGAGGAGAACACTGTTAGCCCCCGGAGCTGTCCGAGGACGAAAAGCAAACCACAACTAGTCCACCATATTTGACAATCCCGACTGTTTGTGCTTCGAAAGACCACTTCGCTTGAGTCATCCTGCAATCTTTATCCACAGATTGCCGAGTACATGGTGCGGGCTTTCGGGAAGTCCCTGTGCTATAATTATCAACATTTCAACACACACAGTGCTTCATAAAATATGTCCACAATCCTCAAACTAATGCAATCTTTATGTGTAGATTGCGGTGGGTGTTTGTTCCGTGGAGCAGCCCCTACAAAACAGATCTGGCAGGCGAAAAGTCCGATTTCATGATCTATGCCCACGGCAATCTTTATGAATAGATTGCTTATGGTTATTTTGCGAATTTACTGGCTATATTTAGTTTTATTAGTACAATTAGTCCATTCCGTCTCACACACAAAGAAACGGAGCTTTGTGCCTCCGTCCACTTTCCTGTGTGAGCTCATACTATAACTTTGTCTATTTTCAAATTGTTTGCCAAGAACCAAGCTAACTCACGGTGCCTGCTAGCCAGCTACCGCTAGCTAGCCTATTATCTACGACTATTTTCATTTGATGAATTTCGAGTCAATTTAACTTCAAAATCAACTTACTATTGACACTATAGATCCTCAGCGTCTCGGGTATATTATTGTGTGCCTTTCATGCACTTATATCTCTTATTTCATAAAGTTTATGTCGTCAACCTTCATGGTTTTAATATCAACTGAAAGACTTCTTATGGGTGGGGCTGTGGTAGCTAAAAGCTAGCCTTTCCTTCAGGAACAAACTGGAGGCAAAAATAGAAATCAAATGTCCATTACTTGAAGAAAAAAATATGATTTTGAGTAGAGTTGTTCAAAGTCCTCGACGGTTCAGTCTTCGGCAAAGCGATTTCATACCTGCAAAACACACAAAAAACACAAATTTAATTTCGACTGGCAAATTCCGTCGTCCTTCGTCTATGCCACAGTCTCTTGTTGTTTTCTGAATACATTTAGTAGGAATTCCGCATTAAACACGTTCAAAATGTTGAAATAACGCTCGTTGATCTTTCTGACTTCACTTACCTCTGACCAAATCCAGGAATGAGCTCTAGAGGAGGGACTTGACATTTATACTGCGTGACGTTTTTTACGTCACGGACAGCGTTAATCTCGTTTATCTTTGAAACAAAATGGCGGATAACCGACCTTCAGTTTACAAGCAAGGGCATAATGGCGTCTCTCACATTTAGGAAACTATTCTTCTGAATTCCTCCCTAGATTCACCTTTAAAGTGATGTGTTTTGGAATTATCAGAGAGACACCAAATAACAACAACGCATTTTGATGATATATCTGGATTGCAGATTTTATTTGATATATAAATTAAGTGAATAATATTTCTTCAAAATGGCGCCTGATTTGTCTGTTAGAGCCGTGTGGTCACATGCGCCAGTCAGAGAGGAAACTGCAGTTCAACAATCATGTGCGCCCCGAAATAAAACGACAGAACGTGCTTTTATACATGATAGAAATGATTTATCGTTGAGTACACTTATAAAATGTAAATTACAAAATGTCATGCTTGGTTTAGCGACAGTATTGATTGATCTTTCAACTTTCACCTACAACCCCCACTTTGACAGAATAACGACGGCCTGTGGGGGCAGCAGTGCGCCGCTGTAGCGTTAAGTCTGCCGTAGAAGGAAGAAGAAGCAGAAGAAATAATGGCTGCCTCCATCCAACGCTTAACTAAGACGTTGTACAGTCTATCACCTTCACTTCTTCGTCCATTACGACAGTATCAGGTATTACATTTAATTGAGCTGTTTATATACCCATTCTCCGGTTACTTTATATGTGTTTGGTTTGCACCAAGGGTTTTATATACTGCGGTCAGAGGACACGCTGGTAGTTAACCCAGAGAGCCGGGACGGTGTCGTGGTCACTAAAGGTTATTTATATATTTGTACAGGTTATTTAGCGACAGTGTCTGAATGGAAAGGCCATTTTAAATTGACAATTCATAAATGTTTACTTGGGCGTTGAGCATCCGTAACACTCGTTACGCCTGTCGTGCACAGCAGGGCTCCTGTCCCGGATGTTGTGATCAGAGGTGGTCAAAGTACACAACTCCATTACTTGAGTCAAAGTATAGATACTCGTGGTAAAATATTATTCCAGGACAAGTGCAAATTGTTCACTCAGATTTTTACTTGAGTTTAAGTACTGGAGTACATGATTTTAAAAATACTTCAGTACAAAAAGTAAATTTTTACGTTTTTGTCAATTTATTATTGTGTTGTCCAGCAGTGTGTTTACAAAACCTAATGACCCTGAAAACACCTACTGTCTGTAGAACCTGGAGAACAAAAATCTTGTACATTGTGATACATACCACATGGAAATGGCCATAAACACACAGTTGAATCAACAGAAGGACAGCCGTTGTTGTTTTCACGTCTCTTTGGGCAGTGATGAAGTTTGGTCGTAGTAGACAAGACAAACATTTAAAACAAACGTAATCTTTCTTTTTTTTACTAAAACATCGTTAGACCTGCTACAGTGTAGGAGTTGGCTGTGATTGATTTTCCTTTGTAATGATCACAATGTATAGGCTATCATATTTTCAAAATAAAATAAAATTCATTCCTCTGACTAAAAGCTGTTTCAAAGTAAGAGTCCTTCATAGAAATGTAGTGGGGTGAAAATTACTAATTACTAGTAGTAATATTTGTCTTTGAACTGTAGTAGGAGTAAAAGTCAGAAGTTTACAAACGAAGTAATACTAAAGTAAAGAATAGATACTCAGAAAATATACTGAAGTACAGTACTCAAGTAAATGTACTTAGTTAATATGCACATGTGGTTGTGATGCTGACTTTGTTGTGTATTCAGTCCTGCGTACAGAGGCTGCCTGTGAGACCATGGCCCTCTGCATTCATACCTCCACGCCAGTCTTTCTGTAAAGCAGCCTCGCTGCAGGATGAGGACGCCGCTCAGGCTGCTGAGGCTGCTGAGGCTGCTGAGGCTGCTGAGGCTGTCTCCCGCTACAAGGACAGACCCTGGGATTACCTGGAGAGTGAAGGTACATAAAGGAAAATCTGGTCTCATCTTTAGCCCTCACGTGTGATTTTACAGTGTGATTCTTTCCCCTGACAGAGTACATAGAGAAGTATGGAACCAACACAGTGTGGGCAGGCTACAGGAGGAACCACAAAGGAGGCATTCCCCCACAGAAGACACGCAAGACCTGCATTGTAAAGTTTCTACATTAACCCACCACTGATACGTCACGTCAGTTATAATACAGCTATAACATTAACAGTGTTTCTGTTTCTGTAGCGAGGAGACAAGATATGTGGAAACCCCTGTCCGATATGTCGAGACCCCAACGTTATTATCCACCATCAGGTGGGTCAGCGTCTCTGTCACTAACAGCTTCACAGCACATTAAACACACACTACATGGTAGTTTACTGTCAGTCTACTGTCGGACACCAGAGGGTTTTCATTCTCACCAAACACTTAACACTCATGTTCCTGGTGGTTTAACGTGTGACTCATACCAGACACCCAGTTCATGAAACACAGACTTGTATATAACTTCTTCAGCAACTGACACTTATTTAAATGAAACCCGCTGACAGAATCGGCTCTGTAGTTTCCTTTAAAAGACCCAGATTTGATTCATTCATCTTCCTTCCTCTGAGTATAAAATAAATGAATCTAGACTTCACTCATTTAAAAAAAAGTCATCACTGTCTATTATGGAAAACTCTCATCTTGACCAGTAACTGATGTGATTGTGCAGCAGCTTCGTGTTTCCTCCCGTGGTCTCTAACTCACATCTTCTCCTGTAGAATGTGAAGCTGCTGCAGCAGTTCATCAGTCCCCACACCGGGCTGGTGTTTGACCCCACTCGGACCGGTAAGTCCCCAGGTCGTCACGGTCACCATGTTTTTCCTGGCTGATCACCAGGTGGCTCATGCTCTGACGGTTCTGTCTCCAGGTGTGTGTATGAAGCAGCAGAAGAAGCTGAACAAGGCCATCGATGCAGCTCGAGATCACGGTACATAAGCCCCTCCCACCTCCCTCCGTCCCTGCTTTTCTATTTGTCTTTTGAACCTGAATATTTTAAGAGCAAAACGCAACTGGAACCTGTAGTTACTGTAAATGTGACTCAGAGCTGAGGTCTGCGCTACGAAGCAGGATCTGAGGTTATCGAGGTAACTTCGGGTTGAACTTTCAGGCCTACAGCACTGGTTCATTCGTTGCCAGGGTAAATAACCATGGTAACTGATGCTGAACTCCTGAGCCAGGTGATCAGGACGATGTTATTTTCATAATGAAAAGTTATCGTGGGTACGTTGAACCTGCTTCGTAGCGCAGGCCTCAGGAGCCACGTCACCTGACACTGGAACACCTGGGATACACACAGGTGTTCGCAGGTTTACAGGTGAGTCCTCCCTCACTGAGCTGAAGGGATTTCTCCGAACCAGGCGTCACTAACACCTCTCGTCCTCTCTCAGGTTTCCTTCCCTTTCAAATTCCATTTGTGGAATTTTCGGGAGAGGACTTCAACAACTCCCATGATGCAGTGGGGTCCACGCCACCTGCCTCGTTCTTAACCTCTGGTGACACCTGGTATAAATGGTATGGGGAAGTGACGCCCGATGAGAGTGAAGTTGCTAAAGTCAAGAAGAAATACAAAGCTTACTTAAAGTGACGGCGACCCGGCGCTCGTCCCGTCACGTGACCTCACCTCAGTTCTCTCTAACTCTGTTATTCGTAGGTGTGAGTTTCCACCGTGTTTTCATGTCCCACAGTTACACACATAAAAATTCCAAAATAAAACCATGTGATGAAAAATGGATTTTATTGTTTGGCTTCTGTAGCTGTCGACCACAGATCATTATCAGGACATTTTTAATGTTAGATTAACACTCCAGTATCTGTCCAGCTGCAACCTGCGGCTCAGACGTGAAGACCAGTCCAGATGTGGTGAAGGTAGCCGATGATGGAGCGACACGGTGCAGCACGGCAGCGTGTCCTCTGAGTGATCACGGGTTGACCTTGTTGACCATGGTCTCTCCCAGCGCCTCCAGCACCTCCCGCTTGTAGTCGTCGAAGTCTCCGTCGATCTGGTTGACGGAGGAATCCTCCACCACCCACATCTGACACTGAGTCTCTGTGATGAGCCGGGCGTCGTGACTCACGATGATCACAGCTGGACAACGAGGGACAGCGTGTTAACATTTAATCTATTTAAAGATAAATCAGTTCTGCTTCATCAATGCAAACATCTGACTTGAATCTTGTTACTGTCATTTTATATCGTTCCATCTGTGCAGATATAGATATCGATATCTATCTAGAGATATATATCTCTATATATATATAGATAAAACATATCAGTGTGGACGAAGCCTCCAGCAGCCTCTTACCTCCTTTGTATTCATTGATGGCCTCCGATAGAGCGTCGATTGACTCGATGTCCAGATTGTTGGTGGGTTCATCCTGTGAGAGACGGAGACAGTCAGGAGGATTCACTGGGACAGATCCATGAGGCGTCCCGACTCTCCTGTCCTCAACTCAAACATTAAACGTGTAGATGGAAACTTTCTCCTGTGTTTCTATAAACCAAGTTATTCTTGTTGATTCGATCTTGTTTTTATCACTTTGTGAAAAACTTTTTAAAGACTTGAATCCCCTCCCCCTCCTTTGTTCCACAGGCACAGTCCAGCTCAAGAACTAAACTGCTGAACTTACATGGACTGTAGCTGCTGCACTGTCCCTTACTCACAGTTCTGTTTGCAAACACATAAAAAATAAAAGTAGAAAAGCGTGTGGTCCTCACCAGGATCAGGACATCAGGCTGACGACACGCCAGCTCAGCAAACACCACCCTCGCCTTCTGGCCCCCTGTCAGAGACCAGATCCAGACTCACGGTTAGGAAACGTCTCCGCCGCCGCAGGCGACGGTGAACGTGCGACGGTTCGTGTTCTTACCGGACAGTTTGGAGATCTGGATGGTGTGGGCGTGGCTCTCCAGGCCGAAGCGACCCAGGCACTTCCTGCCGTCCTGGTAAGGCAGGTTGAAGTTCCTCATCAGGTACTCTGTGGCGGTCTCCTCCATCTTCAGCTGATCAGCATACTGCTGGTTGAAGAAGCCCACTTTCTGCAGGCAGACAGGACATGAGGTCACAACTGGTCTCCATGGAAACGGACCAACATCAGTCTTTATTCTTGCTAATCAGTCCCTCCAGGAGTTCACAGGCTCTTTTTGGGATCGTTGAAATACCTGATTTCACAGCAGCTTTTCTTAACAACTGAAAAGTTTTTAAAAGTTTCTTTTGCAACGAAACTGCAGGAGAAAATAAAAACTGCAAAAATTGTTGCTATCTTATTAATTATATTAATTATAATGACAGTTTCATCAGAGTGAAGGATGGATGAAAATGTTTTCTATCTTTTCATCTTCACTGATTAACCATTTAATCACTGAGCAGCTCAGAGGCGACCACCATCTGTTAAGGTGGAATGTTTTCTTCAGTGTTACTTCATGCATGTTTGACGTTTGAGAATCAATCAATACACCTTAAATATATATGTCAATATGACTCTGACCATGTGTTTTTATCAGCTCTCTCACTGACAGACACGATCGGATCTTCAGGTTCTTAAAATGTAGATAAACATCAACGTGATCATGTGACTGTAGAAAAGAAGCAGCTGCAGCCGTAACAAAAAACTTTAACCCGCTTGATTAATTGATAGAAACATTATGAAAACCAACACAGGAACAGGATCTCACTCACCAGACGATGGTTCTTCCTCATTTCTCCTTTAGTCTAAAACACAAAAGACAAACTCCAGTTATCTTCTGTTGATGTTTCTAACCAACACCGACTGATGTTTTCAATGTGGACGAGGACGACACGATCACCTGCGTGTGACTGGTTCCAACATGAGTTTGTAACGTTAGATGAAGATCTGATCAGATTAGACATGCAGACGTTTTTCTTTCGCACGTTTTAGGAAAGTGAAAACGCACTTACAGGGTTTAACTTCCCGGTGAGCAGCAGCAGCAGCGTACTCTTCCCGACGCCATTGGGTCCAACTATACAGACTGGAGGAAAGAAGACGGCGACGTCAGCAATTATCTCAGTTATAGACTCTGGTTTCCATGTTCAGACAGGAAGTTCACTTACTCCTGGAGTCCATGTCGATACCGAAGTCCACGTTCTTGAAGAGAGGCTTATGACTCTCGTAGCCGAAGTCGACACCTGTGCAGAGAAACCAGAGTCACACAAGGTGCCAGGAAGATGATGAAGTGGATGATGAAGATGAAGCAGCTGGTGCTCTGTACATTATGTCCTCTCACTCACGTGATCCCTCCACCAGCTCAGTCTTTACACTTTGTCAACATAAAGATTCAGAAACCATGATTCCTGTCAGCACACGCTCACCTGATCTGTTCACCTGACGCATGGAGGACGGACGTCTTTATATATATTTATATATAAATATATACAAAACCCTGTTCACATCAAAGTCTGCAGGTTTTACAGGTTACACATGAACACGGGGAGCGATGATGTCATGCAGCTACAGAGAAGGCGCGAGCTGCTGTTAGAGAGTCGGAGTCGGAGTGAGACGCTTCGATGGTGATTTTTTGTTCTTCTCTCAGAGCTGCAGCTTCAGCCTCAGAGGACGGTGAAGCTTTAACAGCAACAGTGTGTTTGATCTGAAAGACGTCGCAGCAGGAGAAAGGAGGGAAAAGTCTGGGGGGGTTCAGGTGCCGCCAGTGACCCTCATCTCACTCTGTCAACGATGTGATCACTGCTGACCCCGTCGGACTGAAGCTTTACAGCTAAGGATATAAGTTAAAGATATCAGAGCGTGGGAGACACGAGGGAACGGTGAGAATGCATCATGGACGAATGTGTTAATCAGAACGGAGTTGGTGAATGTGCAAGAAAACTTTCATGTTGCAATAACAAATACAAAATCTATTCAGCAACGAGAGCGGAGCCGAACGTCGGAGGGTTTTTGTAGGGGGATGAAATCTGTTGTGAGACAGAATGCAGCACATGAATCTTTCTCTCTCCTGTCTCCCTCACTTCGTCCCTGTGCTCAGCTCGGACTCAGGCTGCAGCTGCAGCAGATGTTCTTACTGTGAAGTCCCAGGATGGGCGGAGAGAGCGGAGGCGGGTTGGGGAAGGTGAACTTGACGGTGTATTCTTTAGGCCTCTTCAGCAGCTCTGTGGCGTCCTGGCTCTCCTCCTCCTGACCTCCTTTCTTCTTGCCCTTCTGCTGCTTCCTGGTCAGAGCCTCTTTAGTCTGCTTCTCCTGAGAGGAAACAGTCGGAGGAAAAGGAACATGAGCAGAACGATCAGCGGCTCGGCCTGAGTCTGGAGACGCATGAAGACTCGACTTGACGAGACATAAAGTGCTGGATTTAATTTCACAGTTGAGTCCAGGTCAAGTTGTAGAGAAGTCTTTAAAGTCATACTCACAGCCTGTTTGGTTGACTTGCCACCAGCCTTCAGGTCTTTGAGCTTCTTCTCCTGCTTGTCGTACTGTTTCTGCAGCTCCTTCTGCTTCTGCACGTACATCTTCTTGAAGGTCACTTCAGGAAAAGCAAGAAGAACAGCAGTTTTTAACCCAGACCAGATATCTATTCATTATCTGCTTATTCAATTCCAGCTGAGAGCTACAGGAATATATAATAACACTGCTTTCACCATAGATACCACATGATCCAGCTGCTCCACAGGTTGAAGTTTAACTAATTAATTAAAGGAGATATTTTCCTGCTCAGAGGAAATTAACTCTTAAAACTGACAACAACCAAACAGAGTGAAAACAATGATCTTAATGGGAATTTAAAGGTTCTGTAAACGAGGTTTTAAACAATAATACAGCAGCAAACATCCATATAAATATAATAAATATAATATATGTAGATAGAGTGGAGTAATGGCGTCCTGCTCCGTCAGTGTCAGCGGATCAGTCTAAGAGTGAATTTCTTTCCCAGTCTGACCATGGAGCAGATGCTACCACTAGTGGATACTCACAGTAGTTCCCTCTGTAGTAGTAGAGCTTCTGGTTGTCTAAGTGGATGATATCCGTACACACATCATCCAGGAAACTCTGGTCGTGGGAGACGATGAGGAGAGTCTTCTTCCAGCCTTGAAGGTAGCTGGAAGCAGAAGAGAGAGAGAGAGAGTTACAGAGCGACTTCTTCCTCCTTTATAACACTGAGGTTCCTGCAGCAGGTGGAGGCGTGTCCCTCGGTCCCTCCAGGATGACGCAGCTAAAACACCTGATGTCCCGGCAGCTTTTCTTAAAAATAGAGACGTTTTTACATGTTTTTTTTTTTTTTTGCATTGAAACTGCAGGAGAAAAGATAAAGTTGCTGCTATTTTCATTAAAAATAATAATTATAATAATAATAATTTGTTAAAAATCAAAGGCAACTGGTGACTCAGTCTTCACAACAGATTAATCAATTTATCAATTTATAACGTCTTCTCATCTTCACTCATTAACCATTTAATCACTGAGCAGCTCAGAGGCGACAGCAGCTACCTCCATCTTTTAAGGTGGAATGTTTTCTTCAGTGTTACTTGATGCATGTTTGACATTTGGAAATCAATCAATCAATCGGACAAAGTGCAATGAGAACAGAATTCATGGGGATGAATTTGTGTTAATTACTGCGACTTTCTGGAGGGACTGAAACTCACTTCCTCATCCACAAACCTTCCCATTTTGAATCCTCGTTAAGAAACTACCATTATCAAATACACTGGATTCAGGGAAGTGCATTAGATTTAAAAATAAATAAATCTTTGTACTTGTTGAGCC